GAGATCCCGGCTAAGACACCTGCGGCCACCATGGCGGCCACCCAGGCTGAGGACACTGAGACTCCGGACACTCGGACTGAGGGGACCGGGCCTCTTCGGCCGACACTTCCGGACCCGGACTATGCGGGCTCGGCCCTGGACACCATCGGCAAGGTCATGGCATGGGCTACACCGCAGGTGCTCCAGCACATCAAGAAAAGAGGACTGGGGACATGGACCCAGCTGGCGGACGTGCCACCGCTGGCCTGGAATCCGGACATCGCCAAGGCCTCGGCCCGGACCTTCAAGGAGATGTGGGACTGCGGACATGCGGCTTCGTCGCTGTCCCTGAACGGTCTCTACGAGGCCGGAGGGTCGCTGTTCTGGATTCAGCCTCTGCCGGAGTCAGGACAGGTCTCTTGGACCAACGTCGTGAAAGGCCTTTCGCTGCTCAACCCCAAGAAGATGCAGCACGGAGCTAGCAGCCGAATCCTCTGGCCTTTTTGCCTGGAGACGTCTGCCAAGGACTATCAGGTCAACAAGGACAAGTACCCACTGGGCCTGCAGCTTTTGCATGGACATACAGTGGTCTTTTCATGGTGGCTTGACATGTACCAGGCCTTGGTGGACACGGACGAGGTGAAGATCGGTCAGCTGATAGAGTGTGCTCTTTGTGCAACCGTGCAGGTTCGCCTTCTCAACACAGCAGCGGAGATTGCTGCTGCTTCGATTGAGGCAGCAGCCCAGACCTGGGAGTTGGCCAGTTGCCTTTCGGAGCCCTTCCACATCTTTGCCATGAAGTTGACTCCAATCTTGGACTCCATGCCGAAAAAGGACAGGGCAAGCCAGGCCAAAATCGTGACTTACCTCCAGGCCAACTACAGGAACCAACTCAGGTTCCAGGGCAAGGCCTTGAACAAGACCATGTTTTCAGCGGCTCAAGCAGTGTGCCAGGCCTTTCCGGACGGTGGTCTTGGACAGCGGCTGCTGAACTTGATGTTCCTCTGGCATGGCCCCATCTTGAGCTCCTATGCCCGCCTCTACAAGATGGTGACGACAGTCTCGGGCTGGACTAAGGACTCAGGTAGTCAAAACAACGCTCTCCAGGAAGACATCCTCGCATCGACAATAGCCTTCGCTCTGTTCGACTTGAAGACAGAGGACATCTACGCCCACGAGCTTACGAGCGAGGATATGCTCTTCGGGGATGCGAATGTACCTGGCTGGCTGCAGATGGCCTTTCTCAGGTTCTGCTGTTTGCAGTTCCTGCAAAACGTCGCGGACAAGGCCAATGCCTCCCAGCAGTGCCGGGACATGATGGAGAACATGACTCCAGGTGCTGTGGGAATTATCATTCATTCATTCATGAAGAAATTGTCTGTGTCTATTTGTGAAGTCGTTCATGCAAGAGGGCCTCCCTGACAGGTCACCGCCCCTATGCCTTGCAACCTGCGGACAAGGAGGAGGACCCCGCACCAGCTACGACGAAAGATGCCTTTAAGTCGGTCTCGGACTGGCTTCAAGAGGCAACAACCACTTGCGACAAGAAGGAGCATGCTCTGTTGCAGCTGGTGGCGGATGTTGTGACTTCGGAGTCCGCTGTGGCAGAGGACTTGAAGGTGGTCTGCAAGGCCACGAGCTGTGAGTACAAGAGCTTCGGATTGCAATTGGAACATCTTGCAGGAAACACAGAGCTGAACATTTAGAAACGGGACTCTTGACAACAGTATTCAGAATTCTGTAGACCTCGGACCTGAAGCCAGGAAAGTCATGGACTACTTGGAGAAGTGTGCGGACGGGAATCTGGCCTCAAGGGTCCGGGCTGCTTGCCAGGCCTTCGACGGGGACGGAGTCTCGGCCGATGGGTCTGGGCCACGGCTCAATATCCGGACTTTGGCTCGCCATGCGAGCGATCCGGACGACTCCGGACGCCTGGCCCGGGCTAAGAAAGAAAGGGCCGAGGTCTGGCAAAAGGCCGTGGCCGTCCGCAAGCAGCATTGGCGCATCGAGATGTGGTCGGGCGGGGGCAAGACAGCGAAGGATATCAAGGCGGACCTCGTCAGGATCAGGTCTGAGTCTAAGGTCCAAGTCGAGCTCAACGAGAAGCACAAGGCCTTCTTCCTCTGTGCGGACTTGCTGGGCGAGGGAAATCCAGGCTGGACTGTGGGCGGCTACGAGAAGAAGCACACAGACAGGATCCAGAGGATCGCTGAGGCCTTGGCCGAACTGGACTCCGAGGCCACTTTCACCTTTGCTTTTGACGGTCGGGCCAAGGAGAACAGGAAGCTCTTCGAGGACTGCTTCAAGAAGGTCAGTCCGACTGAGATGATGGACCTGTGGATCAG